TCTATATCCGATAATAATGCAGAAAAAAAAGTACAAAGGAAAACATAACATGAACTATCAGAACAAAATAAGTCCCAGTTTGTTAGTAATCACAATAAATATGAATGGAAAAAACTCAAACATTAAAAATAGGAAGTTCCCTGGTGGCCCAGTTAGTGGTTAAGATTCTGGGCTTTCACTGCCATAGCTTGAGTTCAGTCCTGGTTGGGGAACTGAGATCCTGAAAGATACATGGCATGGCCAAAGAGAAAACCAGACTCTCAGAGTAGATTAAATACAACACACACTTCTGTGATGTGTACAAGAACATGCGAAAAGTGTACTGAGAATAGATATACTTGTGGCAAGATTAGTAGAGAATATAAGGAAATTCAAGAATACAAAGAGTTAGGGATGAAAAGAGAACCATATGATAATTTGTAGGAAGTTTTGCAGAGAAGTTAGAAAATCAAGATGAAATGTTTGGTTTTCTTGGTGAATATAAGTGTCATAAATTGACTCAATGAAAATTAGAAAATGTGACTGGAACAGTAACCATGGGAAAATTAGTTTTTGATAAATGTATTTTTATGAAGGGCTTCCCAGGTGGCACAGTGTTAAAGAATCTGCCTGCAGTGCAGAAAGGAGGCATGGGTTTGATGCCTGGGTCAGGAAGATCTCCTGGAGAACGAAATGGCAACCCACTCCAGTATTCTTGTTTGGGAAATCCCAAGGACAGAGGAGCCTGGTGGGCTACAGTCCATGGGGTTGCAGAGTCAAACACAGCTTAGTGACTGAGCATACATACATGCACTTTTATAAAATGTACTGACTCAACTTCAAAGGTAAATTCTACAAAAACTTTTTGGAAGTGATAATTCTATGTTATCTAAACTATTTCGGGAAAATGAGTATCACCCTTTTTAATGAATAATTCCATAATTTAGTAATGAATCAGAAAAGGGCTAATTTCAATTGAGACTAAATATAAATTTCATAAACATATTATTAGCACATTGAAATAACTGTTTATTAAATATGACCAGGCTTTGTTCCATAAATGTAAGATTATTTCAATAATAGAATCTCTGTTGTAGAAATGCATGAGATGAACATGTAAAAAGAGAAAAAATACAGTTATATCAGTAGATACGGAAAGACCTTGAAATAATACAGCAGTCATTTATGACAAATTCTAGGTGAAGGACCTTTCTCAATAGGAATGAGAGTATGATTAGAAACCACAGCAAACATGGTTGTCCCAAGGAAATATTAAATATAGAACATAGTAACATTGCCACAATGATCTGTTAGTCCATAGTCCCCAACTAGAAACTGGGGTTTCTAGTTAAGTTTATATGGGAAAATAAAACTGGTAAAATATTAGAAATCAAGACTTAATTTCAGTGAAAAAGGGAAGACATTATACAAAATATATTTTGTATAAGGGAAGATATTTGTATATTTTGTATAAGGGAAGATATTATACAAAATCTAGGGCATACAAAACTTGTATAAAAGTCCTTGTATTGTATGTGATAAAAGGATGTTTTTAATAGTAATTTAATATATAATTTAATATATTATAAATATACAATTATATATATAATTATATAAAATTATAAATTTATGTAAAATAAATTTATATAAAAATTATAAATATAAATAAATAAGTAATTTAATAATAATACTTTCAGAATTGAAGTTAATAAACAAGTTCCTATAGCATCAGAAACTATATTAAATATCCTATAATAAACCAATAATGGAAAGGAATATGAAAAAGACTTTTTTTTAAAGCAACATTTAAGAAATTTAAAGTCAGTCCTCTTAAGCCCTGCTGTTGTTTTATCAACTAAGTTTAAGAAATAGTCTAAATCCTTTTATCATTTCAACCATCTTCACAGTATCTTCACCAGGAGTAGATTCCATCTCAAGAAGCCGCCCTCTTTGTTCATCCGTAAGAAGCAACTCCTCATCCTTCAGGTTTCATCATGAGATGCAGCACTTCAGTCCCATCTTCAGACTCCACTTCTGATTCTAGTTCTCTTTCTGTTTCCACCGCATTTGCAGTTCCTTCCTCCACTGAGGTCTTGGACCTCCACAGAGTCATCCATGAGGGTTGGAACCAACTTCTTCCGAACTCTTGTTAGTGTTGATATGTTGTCCTCTTCCCATGAACCACGACTGTTCTTAATGGCACTGAGAATCGTGAATTCTTTCCAGTAGGTTTTCAATGGACTTGATTTGATTGCCCAGGCCCATCAGAGAAATCAGGGCCTATGGCATACAGTTTTAGCCTTTAATGAAATGTGTTTCTTAAATAATAAGACTTGAAAGTAGTAATTCCTCCTTGATCCATGGACTGCAGAATGGATATTGTGTCAACAGCCATGAAAACAACATTCATCTCGTTGTTCCTCTCCATCAGAGCTCCTGGGTGGCCAGGGACATTGTCAGTGAGTGGAATAATTTGAAAGGAATATTTTTTTCTGAGCAGTAGGTCTTAATGCATTCATGCATGCTTAATCGCTCAGTCGTGTCCAACTCTTTGTGATCCCACAGGCCATAATCCGCCAAGCTCCTCTGGCCATAGGATTCTCCAGACAAAAATACTGGAGTGGGTTGCCATTTCCTACTCCAATAGGTCTCAATGGTGGGCTGCAGATATTCAGCTAACCATGTTGTAAACAGATGTGCTGTCATCCGGGCTTCATTGTTCCATGTACAGAGCACAGACAGAGTAGATTTAGCATAATCCTAAAAGCCCTAGGATTTTCAGATGGTCAAGGAGCACTGGCTTCAACTTAAGAGTCACCAGCTGCATTAGCTCCTAACAAGAGGGTCTGTCTGTCTTGTGAAGCGCTGAACCCAGGCATTGATTTTTCCTCTCTTGCTCTGAAGGTCCTAGATGGCATCTTCTTCCAATAGAAGGCTGTCTCATCTACGCTGAAAATCTGTTGTTAGTGTAGCACTTTCATTTATGATCTTAGCTAGGCTTTCCAGATAACACTGAAACTTCTACATCAGCACTTGCTACTTTACTTTGTGCTTTTATGTCATGGGAACGGCTTCTTTCCTTAAATCTAACCTCCCTCTGGGAGCTTCAGACTTTTCTCCTACAGCTTCCTTGTCTGTCTCAACCTTCATGGAGTTGAAGAGAGTCAGGGGCTTGCTCTGGATGAGGCTTTGGCTTGAGGAATGTTGTGACTGCTTTGATCTTCTAACCAGACACTAAAACTTTCTCCACATAAGCAATAAGGCTCTTTTGCTTTCTTACCATTTGTGTGTTCACTGGAAGAGGACTTGTAATTTCCTTATAGAATTTTGCCTTCGCATCTTGGCCAAATGTTTGGTACAAGAGGCCTAACTTTCAGCCTCTCTCAGCTTTTGACCTGCCTTCCTCTCTAAACTTGGCCATTTTTTAGCTTTTGATTTAAAATGAGAGATGTACAACTTCCTTTCACTTGAACGCTTAGTGGACCTTGTAGAGTTATTAAGTGGTTTTGGTTAAATATTGCTGCATCTTGGGTGACAGCTGAGGAGAGGGAGAGCTGGGGTGGCTAGTCAGTGAAGCAGTCAGAACACACATTTTACAGTCAAGTTCCTGTGTTATATATAGGGACAGTTCGTGCATGGCCCCCATGCCCTCAATTGCAATAGTAACATCAAAGGTCACCAGTCACAGAGCACCATAACAAATACCATAATAATGAAAAAGCATGAAATATTGTTAGAATCATCAAAATGTGACACAGAGACACAGAGTGAGCTAATGCTATTGGGAAAATGTTACCCACAGACTCACTTGATGCAGTGTTGTCACAAGCCTTCAATTTGTAGAAAACACAGTGTCTGTGAAATTCAGTTAAGTGCATTAACAGGAGGTCTGCCTAACTCTGGACTGAGATGGAGAACTCTTAATGATACAGTGAGTGAATACAAGGACAGAATGTCAATTCTGGGAAGGTAGGGCATTTTATCATTAAATAACTTGAAATTAAAATATACTATGTAGATTGACAGTCATAAGTGTGTTAACTGGTTACCACGAACCACGGCTGGATTTCCAGTTTGTGTGTTGTAATTAGGGTTTGCGGAGAGTGTTTGCTAAAGTGAGAAATGGCTCATTTTCTCACCTTTTTAGGACTGTACTTTTGAAAGTCAGTATGTGACATTAGTAGCATGTGTACAGACTGACGCTTAATCAGAGGTTTTGCTGACAAGACACAATTTTCAGCAGACGGTACAACGTTCAGTTCTCCTGGATTTGTAGAAACTAACCTGATGTGCCTTGTGGGCCAGCGTTTGTGATCCTATGAGCTCAGCATGAAAAAGACACAGCACACTTTTATGTGATGTTATAAACAAGTCTCCTCAAAGATGTGTGTTCCTCTTTCATCTGATTCATTTTGGGGAAACATGTATTGGTAAATGCAGTGAAGAAAGGAGCAGAGGTTTTATAATTTATCAAGGTGTATGAACTAGCACCTGTTTAAAATATGCAGTGCTCAGGTTTATCTGGGCATAGCAATTTTTTTCCTGGAAATAAAATGATCAGTTATTAATATTCCCTGGGACTGTCCTTTTGTTTCTTGGAATCTGCCAAGAACAATCAAAAATGTTGCTTTTGTCCTCAAGTTATATGAGGAATCATCACTCCTGATTTAAAGTATGACTTTATTATTTCTCTGTGGTTGAATATTTTGAAGTTGGGAAAGCTATTCATCATAACCTCAAACCCAGTTTGGGAATAGAAATACTTGCATAATGTCCACGTGCTGTGGGTGCCTGCAGGGTTCTCTGTTCCCTGGTTTTATTTAAAAATACCTGGTGTTATTTTTTATATACAGCATCTCTGCCTACTTAGTTCTTGCCATACTGCTGTTCTAGATGGATTTAATTATTGCTCAGTGTCATTTTTTTTAATGTACTTTCCATATGTTTCTTTTTCCATGGGGAGGTTATTTACCCCTTTTTTTTATCATGTTTTCCCCATTTCTATCCATTCCTCATCATAGGCCTTCCCACCATCCGAGGCCCGGCCGTAGCAGCCCAGGTTCCCAGAAGCTGCCCTCGATCGCCCGGCCTGCGCCGGCTCTGCCACCATGGGGACCGCTCAGGTACTGTGTGCCCGTCCGTGCTCTGGCTGTGTAGGCATTGGTGGGGGGTGCCAGGGGTAGTGTTGCTGGAGGTGATCGAGGGATGGAGGTGATGCAGGGCATGCAGGGGATGGAATTGAGGGGAGTAAGGACCCAGGGGGTGAGTGCAGGTGCTGCATCAGCCTCCCAGCTCCCAGTGGGGAATTTTCTGGCTCAGATGGAGGCGGGTCTGTAAGCGACTCACAAATGCGGCACTTGTATGCTTGGTTGGGAAGCTGGGAGGGGCTGCTGGAGACCTAGGGGACGAGCATGAGATGAGGTCCGGGCTCTGGTCCTCCCAGCATCACCTGTCATGTGAGTTGTCACACATGAGCTGGAAGAAGGGTCTGTGGACACATGCACAAGGGCTTCTCTGGGGCTTCTCTGAGTAACCTTCCCTGGCTTCTGAAGTGCTTTCACATGCTTTTGGTGGTGGCCGTGCTTGTGGGGAGGGCGGCAGGAAGTCCCGCAGCTGATGATGAGCCAGATGCACAGTCAGGGGCCTTCTGCCGCTGCTCACTCCTAAAACCCCTCCTAAAACCCCCAGGGCCCTGTGTGCTCAGGACACCCCAGCAGGGCCACACCCGCTCACCCGTCTCCGCTCACATTTGGAGGGTATTCGGGAGCAGAGGTGTGGCCTTTCACCTTCTCTGATGCCAATAAATAAAATACTCAGTTGAAGTCTTTATAGAGAGTGACTTCATTTGATTTTTCAATTCAAGATGCGGCAATTTATAATGTATCATTCTTTACTGCAGGGGAGATTTAAGCTGTGAAATATGGTCAGATTTCCGGTGGGCCCTTGTCCCTGCCCCCTGATGACCTTCTCTCATCCCTTCTTTCCCATCTTGAGTCTCACCTGGTGACACCCCACAAGTCTGCACCTTGTGCGTAACACCTTCTTTTATCATTCCAATAATCTCAGGAAACGATGCTGATGTGGAGTGTCAGGCTCCATAGCCAGGACGTGGTTGCTTTTTGTTGGGAGTTTCATGTAACAGCCTTGAGGAGACTAAGCTGTTTCATTCTCTCTTAAAAAACTACTTCCCCCTCTGGTTTAGCAAAGATAAGGCATGATGCCTCTTCAGTGCTGTCATCAACTCTTCAGACAAACACCCTGCAGCCCATGAGACGCAACTGCACATTTTCCCCATAGATTGGGTAGGGTGCTTAACTGCAAAGAAGAGAATTAACTCTGGCTCATGTGAACAGAAAAGACTTCATTAAAAGAGATGCTTGTCACGTCATGGGCCTCTAGACGGGCCTGGACAGAGAGGATCTGCACGAGGCCACCAGGGGACGCTGGGGGGACCCGTACAGGAGCCCCTTCTTGGGGTGTCCATCCCACCTCGGGGCAGGGCCTGGGCCCGGATGTGGGGTCCTGCCTGTGTCTCATTGCGGGGAAGGCTGGAAAGCCCCTTTGTTGTTGTCTGTGCTCCTCTTGCCCTTGGAGAGGGGTCGACCCCAGAGACGACAGTATCAGTGGTGTAGGAAGCGCTTCCCGGGCGCCAGGCCCCAGTCCACTCCGTGGTCCCTCTGCTTGTCCCCACGCAGCCATAGCACTCACTGTTTTCAATGCACTGTCCTGTATGAAATGGAAACACACTTGCTTCTGTCCCCCAACGGAGTCCCCTGGTCTCATTCGTCACACGGTCTCACTCCTGGTCAACGGTCTAGGGACAGAGTTCAGCCTGACCCACCTGCTGTGTGATGACTGCAGCCAACACAGCCTTGCAGACACTGGTACGGGTTGCTCAGATTGTTTTAGTTTTCATTATAAATATATACGTGACAAGAAAAGCGGGGGGAAGGGATAATGGGTGTTCTGGTCTCTGGGGAGCTCCCGTCCCCCTCCCTACTCCACGGTCCCTTGGTCCCAGGGCCAGCAGCTCTGCTCGCCTGAGACCCTGACCTTCCTGGCACCAGTGAGTGATACTCTTCATCCTTCAGAGGCCTGAGCTTGGGTGGTTCTGCCCATGTGGGTCTTGGCAGGCCCCAGGAGCTCTTCCAATGGATGCATGGTGCCAGTGGGGGACTCAGGGGACCTCTGGTCTGACCCTCTTTCTCTCATGGTATGAGCTCCACTGTACCCTGAGACTGCGGGTCCACAGGCATCCTTGCTGCCCGTCAGTCAGCAGCCGAGTCTCTCCCAACTTCACCACCCAACCCAGTCTCCAGGGGCATCCCCAGGCCTCCACGGAGAGCTCACTCCCTGCTGGATGGTCCTCCCTGGGGACCCGGATGCCTAACGCAGCAGACTGCAGTGTCCTGGGGACAGGAGCAGGCCTGCAGGGAGCTGGGCTCCTCTGGCCACAGGAGGGATGTTATGCCTGGCCATGGTCCATGGCAGGTCCAAATCCTGGAGGAACAGGCTTCTCGGGACAAGTTCCAGCCGGCACATGGCCTGGGAGGGGCTGCACAGTGCCTGCCCCCCAGGGTGACCCCAGAGTGACTTGTGACCACCCTCTGCTGCCTCTGCCATTAGCGTGGGGGTTCTCACCCACACCCTTGGGAGAGCAGCGTCCATGCCTTGGATTTACATGCAGAATCGCTGAGAAGGGCAGTTTTTGTCAGATTCTGCCTTTAAGCAAAACTCTGAATTGTAGGGCTAATGTTTAAAAGGAAAGGAAATGTAGGGCTAATGTTTAAAAGGAGCTCATCACTGTTACTGCTGTTTGGGTCAGATAATTCTCTGGGCGGGGCTGTCCTGTTTGTAGCGGGAGGCAGGCAGCGTCCTGCACCCACCACCACCCACCTCCACTGCTGCCAGGACCCTTCCCGCTTCCCCAGAGACGGCACCAAACACGGCTGGACACTGCCAGATACCCAGGGAGAGGGAGCCCGAAGCCTGCTAGAACACCTTAGGCATTATTAGATTCAGCGGTCTAGAGCTGTTGTCTACAGGACCTTTATCATCCACAGAATCAGAGATGGTGTCATCTCTCTCATCTGCATGTTGTTAACTTCAGTCTTCTCTCCTTTCTCCGTCTCAGATTTGTCAATTTTATTGATCTTACTGAACTAGATTCTGGTTTTTAATGGTTTTCATTGTTTTTTATCCTGTTTACTGGCGACTTTCTCTGTTTTTCTTTTTATTTCATTTGTACATTTTGGTTTTCAGTTGCTCTTTTTCAGTTTGTTTAAAGGTCAGAACTGAAGTCAATGACTGCAGACTTTCCCCTTTCCTGATAGAGGCACTGAGATATACCCTTCCTGGGTGTGGGACTGTTTTGTCTTTCTATAAATAGTCTCAGCAAATGTTTAAGTTACTTATACACATGTGTTTTTTTGCTGGGTAGGATGTCATGACCCTACTATCTGGACCTGTTTGCGGTGGTGGCAGCGCCCACCTGCTGCCTGGATGCTGCCCCGCCGCTCACTCTGATTCCATCCATCTTCCTCATTCAGTTTAGTCGCTCAGTCATGTCCAATTCTTTGTGACCGCATGGACTGCAACACGCCAGGCCTCCCTGTCCATCACCAACTCCCGGAGCTTGCTCAAACTCATGTCCATTGAGTTGGTGATGCCATTCAACCATGTTAACCTCTGTCATCCCCTTCTCCTCCTGCCTTCAATCTTTGCCAGCATCAGGGTCGTTTCCAATCAGTCAGTTCTTCACATCAGGTGGCCAAAGTACTGGAGTTTCAGCTTCAGCATCAGTCCTTCCAGTGAAAGACTGATTCCCTTTAGGATTGACTGGTTTGATATCCTTGCAGTCCAAGGGACTCTCAAGAGCCTTCTCCAACACCACAGTTCAAAAGCATCAATTCTCTGGCGCTCAGGCCTCTTTATGGTCTAACTTTTAGATTTGTACATGACCACTGGAAAAACCAGAGACCCCCTGGTGGTCCAGTGGTTAAGCTTCTGCTCTCCAAATGCAGGGAGTAGGGGTTCAATCCCGGGGTGGGAACTAAGAGTTATTTATTGGACTTCCCTGGTGGCTCAGATGGTAAAGCATCTGCCTACAATGCTGGAGACCCAGGTTCAATCCCTTGGTCGGGAAGATACACTGGAGAAGGAAATGGCAACCCACTCCAGTACTCTTGCCTGGAAAATCCCATAGACAGAGGATCCTGGTAGGCCCCAGTTCATGGGGTCACAGAGTCAGACACAACTGAGCCACTTCACTTTCACTTTCACTGGAAAAACCATAGCTTTGACCACATGGACCTTTGTTGGCAAAGTAATGTGTCTGCTTTTTAATATGCAATCTGTGTTTGTCATAGCTTTTCTTCCAAGGAGCAAGCGTATTTTAATTTCATGGCTGCAGTCACCATCTGCAGTGATTTTGGAGCCCAAAAGAATAAAGTCTCTCACTGTTTACATTGTTTCTGCATCTATTTGCCATCAAGTGGTGGGACCGGATGCCATGATCTTAGTTTTTTGAATGTTGAGTTTTAAGTCAGCTTTTTCACACTTTGTCTTTTACACTCATCAAGAGGCTCTTTAGTTCCTCTTCGCTTTCTGCTATAAGGGTAGTATCATCTGCATATCTGAGGTTATTGATATTTCTCTCAGAAATCTTGATTCCAGCTTGTGCTTCCTCCAGCCCAGCATTTCTCGTGATGTACTCTGCATATAAGCTAAATAAGCAGGGTGACAATATACAGCCTTGACGTACTCCTTTCCTGATTTGGGACCAGTCTGTTGTTCCATGTCCGGTTCTAACTGTTTCTTCTTGACTGGCATACAGATTTCTCAGGAGGCAGGTCCAGTGGTCTGGTATTTCTATCTCTTGAACAATTTTCCACAGTTTGTTGTGATCCACACAATCAAAGGCTTTGGCATAGTCAATAAGGCAGAGGTAGATGTTTTTCTGGAACTCTCTTGCTTTTTGGATGATCCAACAGATGTTGGCAATTTGATCTGTGCTTCCTCTATCTTTTCTAAATCCAGCTTGAACATTTGGAAGCTCATGGATAATGTACTGTTGAAGCCTGACTTGGAGAATTTTGAGCATTATTTTGCTAGCATGTGAGAT